AATCCCAAACCTTAACCCTAAACCCTAAACCCTAAACCCTAAACCCTAAAAAGGAGCCCTTAGAGAAAGCCTCCAGGAGCCGATAAACCCTGCGGCTGCCTTTGCCTCGGCGGCCCGGGACTCGGACAGGATCGGAGCTTCGGGGCCCTGGGGGGACCCGGATAGGGTTTAGGGTTTAGGGTTTAGGGTTTAGGGTTTAGGGTTTAGGGTATAGGGTTTAGGGATTGAGGGTTTAGGGTTTAGGGTTTGGCAGTTAGGGGTTTAGGGTTTAGGGTTTAGGGTTCAGGGTTTAGGGGTTTAGGGGTTTAGGGGTTTAGGGTTTAGGAATTTAGGGATTTAGGGATTTAGGAATTATGGACTTAGGGATTTAGGGATTTAGGGATTTAGGGTTTAGGGATTGGGGGGATTTAGGGTTTAGGGTTTAGGGCTTTGGGCTTAGGGTTCAAGGGTGAGGGTTTAGGGTTTGGGGTTTAGGATTTAAGTGTTTAATGTAGGGTATAGGTTCAGAGAGCCCAGTATAGTTTGTTAGTAAGGAATACCATAAATCAAGATGCGAAGGCCTCTATATTTCGAGGTGACCCTACACCCTAAACCCTCGGGTTCAGGGTTTAGGGTTCAGGGCCCTAGCCCTAAATCCTAAACCCTTAATTAAGGGGCGTTGGTTTTGGAGGACTCGAAGGGTTGGGTTTCACAGGTTCTGTGAGTGTAGGCTTCAGGGTTCAGGGTTTAGGGTTTGGGGGCTTTCGAGTTTGAGTTTGGGTGCCATTGGGCGTTTCCCTAGGAGATCGAAAGATCGTAAACCCTAGGCCCGGGCCAGTTTATGCCCTAAACCCTAAACCCTAAACCCTAAACCCTAAACCGATGTTGTGCTGAGGTGTCATTCCAGGGGGCGGAGGGCACTCCTTTTCGTGATGCTGATTTCTGTTTACCCTGAGGGTGTTTATGCACACTGGTTTTGCGCCGTATATTCCAGTGTCTTCATAGTTTCAAGGAGGTGGATAGCCCTAAACCCTAAACCCTAAACCCTAAACCCTAAACCGAAACCCCAAACTATGGCCACACAGCGGTTGACCGCGATTCCTGACTTCCTCAGTCCATTTCTTCGTTCATTGAGACCGGAGTGAAGTCGACCTAACAGGGGAGTGGCATCCCGAAGCCCTAAACGGTTTCGGGGTTTGGGTTTAGGCATTTTTTTTGGGTTTCGGGTTTAGGCCGTAAGCCCTAGGGCCCCGAAACCCCAAACGCCATATGCCCTACACACTAAACACGAAACCCCCATAAACCATGTCTCGTCGTGCCTTGTTGTCTTGGGGTGAACGTCTCCGAAGTCTCTGTTTAGACACCCCAAGAGCCCAGAGACTCCAATATCCCTTAATTAAGGAGTATACCTTAAATCATATTAGGGGTCCTACTATAATTTAAGGTATATTCTTTAATTAGAGACGCCAGTACGGCGTAATTAAGCAACATACCTTGTAGAGTTTAGAGTTTAGGCTTCAGGATATCCCGTAACTATACGTAAAGCAACATTTCTTAAGTTATAGGAGGCATCCTGTGCTGATTTAAGGCATCTTCCCCCATAGAGCCCTAATTAAGAGGTATTGGGCTCTCCGCAAAGCAGTAGCAAGTGCTGTTGTACAGCAAATGCCGTAGGGTTTACCCTAAACCCTAAACCCTAAACCCTTTGTCGGTTGCTCCTTTTTGGGTTCTTGGAATAGGAGCTCTAGCATGCGCTGTAGCATTTCAAGATATGGGGTAGGCCTTCATCACCCCGAGAGCGATTCAGGTTCCTGGTTATAAGTATATTAGATACGGTTAAGTGTTAAGGGTTTAGGATACACTTAAATACACCCGCCCCCAAACCCTAGTCTAATTTGTACGGCCCCTGTATCATGTGCTTTGCATGTCTCTGTTGGCTCCAGCCCTTTCAGTGGCCCTTCAAGGTTGGTGGCTTAGGGTAGGCATTTTGGATGTAGGGGTCGGCTTGAGATATACCCTTTTCAGTTCAGCATTGCTGTTTCACACCTTGGAGGAGCTTGGAATAGCTGGGATTCTTAGTTTCAGTCAGAGCTTTGTAAAGTTGTAGGTTTTGGGTTTGGGGCTAGGGGTTGGGGGTAGATCTGCCGGACGGCAGTGGATGAATGGCCGCCACTATTTGGAAGGCTCCTTCCAACAAGGACTTCTTGCGGATCCAGTTGTTGTTACGGTTTAATGAGGATAGAAGTCAAAGTGCACTTCTTTTTCCTGGTGAAACATAGCCTAAGCTTCCAGGGACCTTCTTATCGGGTCCTTCTGGGGTCTGGGGCCCTACCTATGAAATCCTTGGAAGCATTGGGTTATAGTACTCCCCAACACCTTATGTATCAGAATAGAACCCACTATCTAAGGTTTTAAGTATGGGCCTCTGATATGGACCCTTAGGCCTTTCCAGGGGCCCTTACAAGGGTACATATAGGGTATATAGTAGGTGTATAAGGATCCCAGAATTAAGGGCCCATACTAAGGGGCCCATGGTTTCAACCTCAACCCTAAACCCTAAACCCTAAACCCTAAACCCTAAACCCTAAACTCTAAACCCAAAACCCTGAACCCTAAACCCTAAACCTAGCACTACAATACCCGCAAGGTTTGGCGTCGGACACCCTCTGAGTGGTTCCGGGCTGGGAGTTTACGCGGTATTGCGTGGGTAAGGTTATGCGTACCTCAACTGGGCTGATTGGTACTTAAAAATATAGTAAACCCTAAACCCTAAAGCCTAAACCTTAGTTACCAGGTTTCATGGTATGTTATGGCGCCCTGGACTGGGACATGTTTCGTTTTGCATTCTTCGGCAGGTTTTGGTAAGAGAGGGTGTGGAGTATGAAGCACCCCAGGCTCTCCATGGCACTCTTCCCAGAACTTTTTCCCCTGGTTGTGCGCGCAAAAGACTTCACCCAGATCCAAAGCGCCCACGTATAAACCCCAAGTGACAAGCCCCAAAGCCTTAAACCCCAAAGAGGACATGCCTAAACCCCAAGCCCCTAAACCTCTAAACCCGAAACCCTAAACCCAAGCCGCAACCCGAAAGCCCCAACGCCGAAGCCCCAACGAGGACAAGCCTAAACCCTAAGCCGTCTAAACCCGAAATCCCAAACCCAAAGCCCGCAACCCTAAAGCCCCAACGTCGAAACCCCAAAGAGGACAAGCCTAAACCCTAAACCGTCTAAACCCGAAATCCTAAACCCCAAAGCCCGCAACCCTAAAGCCGTAACGACGAAGCCCCAAAGAGGACAAGCCTAAACCCTAAACCGTCTAAACCCGAAATCCTAAACCCCAAAGCCTGCAACCCTAAAGCCGTAACGCCGAAG